CACAATCTCAGAGGGTGTTCAATTGGTATATTTAATGAGATATAACAATGTGATCCTTATACTGTAGCATTAGAGTCTATATTACAAGTGACGTTACTATACTGACACGTTTTTCGTATTCTATTATTCAAGTGACGAGGGACAACTATACGACAAACTGTGATGAAGATAAAAATAATTTGAAGAAAATTTGACATTAAAGTTCAATGACATTAAGGTATAATTTTGTAAAAGTGTTATTATTATATGTGACACATATAAAAATGATATGGAAGAATCGATATGTCCAACAAAAACCTATTGTGTTTTTTCATAGTAGTACAGTATTTAAACAATCAAGAAATAGTAAAGTAGTAAATATTATACTATGCGTATGCTCATAATAATAATACAAATTTAATTTGACTTGTTTAAAAGATATTAATTACAGAACAAAGAGTTTATTTTAAGTTTATAAAACCTTATTAATCATACACAAAGTAAGGTTATAACAACTGTAGCTGTCAATGTGCTGTTATTAAAGATTTTGTTAACAGTTACAGTAGATAATAAAAATATATAATGAAAAGAGATCCTGAACATTTTTTCCTGTCTTTATACGGGGAAACAGTTTGATGAAACGGATTTAAACAATAAAAGAAATTCAATGAATAAAACAGTACAGTTGTGTGTGGTGGTCTTCACGGGACTCAAACAAACGAGTCCAACAAAAAGAAAAATCAAAGATTAAGAAAGTCTCTGACTAATGATTAGATTATTTAACATTAAATAGTCAAAGGAAATTGTAAAAACGTATATTTTTTTATATTTCATTGTAATTTTATCATAGATATACTCGTAAATAACAGCGTCCGTCACAGAACAACTCTTCGCATCACTGAGCAACAAAACTATACTGATCCAATAAAACACGATTCTGTGTATTTGTTTTCAAAATATAATATATGAACTTTTATATCATGTTTATGTATGTATATATATAATATGGATTATAGTTTTTTATGTTAATAAATATTAATTTATATAATATTCCAGTTACACTCAGAAAGGATCACATGAAGGAAGTTTAATTATGAATACATTTTCTATTGTAATAAAAACAAACGAAGATAATAACAGACGATGGATATCAGAGGCGAGTACACGGAGCTTCTAATACAGGGGAACATGTTGTAAGTGTACTAAATATATGTAAGATAGTTACGCGACTATTATAAAGATAAAGAATGTAAACCAACCAACTTATAATAAGATGAACAAAACCTTATGTACGTAACACAACAAAATGTACCGAACATTATATTATTAGTGCCACATCACCGAATACTGAGTATTATAAGTAAAATTACATTCTTTAAGTAGATATATAACACGAAAACGTCACTCACACCTCACGGTTTTTATATCATATATTAAACCCTAACATCTTAAGTCACTTTATTATTTACATTCACTAACTCCTGATATGTTAAGAAAATAATATTTCTTAAGCCTCTCAGTTTTCAATGACAGTACTTTTAATTTTTATTTTGTGTGAACTTCCAGGCCCGAGAGTATTCTCCCACATTTATATGAGTTAATTTATATAAAGTTGGAAGAACTTTTGTAGCCATTGAGACAATTTGGAGTTGAATATTGGTTTTACTGGAAGTAATTGGTTTAAAGTTAAGTAAGAAACTTTATGCTATTTCATCATTTACTTTGTTTTACTATGAGTGAGTAATACTGGCGGTCCTTAATAAATAGGTCTTTGGGTCCTTGATAAATACTTCAATCTTCTATCCTAGTCATATAAGAGATACCAATATAGTTATATAAGGATAAAATATAAAAAAAGATGAGATAACAAAAAACATAAATTCTTATCATCAAAACTAGACGAAGCGATGTAATGGTTTTCAAATTTTTATTTTATTGTGTAGCAAAAGTAAAGAAAAAATATTTTCGTCTGATAATAATTATAACAGCGATTATTATTGGAATGCATTGGCTTTCATTAAAAAAATAGATGAAGAAGAAGAAGAAATGTCACTTGTACCAATATGGAATATCAATATTGGACGATAATACGGGATAAGCAAGTCTTCCTTATACACAACACGTATTATAAAAGAGGAGAGAGAACCAAGTCGATATTCAACCGAACCTATAATATATTAAGAACATAAATCTCTGTACATGAGAACGCTTATATCTCTGAGACAATGTCTTTCCTCTGCACACATTTAGAGTTAACAATTTTCGGATTTTACTTCCCGCTCTTATTATTTTGTTTTCAAACTCTTTGCTACTTTGTAATAACCATACGCGTGCACCTTCTGTACGAATTTAGATTTTCTTTGTCACTGATGTCTTATGTTGGAGAAGGAACGTAACATATGAAAGTTTAACATTCGGCTTTCCAGTATATATTCCCAGATAGCACTTGTGTGATCAACGATAAATGTTTGGTTGCTTTTTACTTCGTATCTTTGAAATTTGAATTGTTACACTTGAATTTCAGTTGTGTTTGAGTGTATGTGTGCACTTTGGTCTTGGACATCCCTTTTAATAAACCATTTGACTTCTCATTCTGAATGTCCATGTTACTTTAATTCAAAATGTATATCGATTAATGGATTCCTGGATCACACTTTATGACTGCTTCACAAATTCACCTATGAATATGTCAATAATATTTCCGATTCTGAACCTAGTCAGTTTTATAAAATACTAGCTTTCCGCCCGCAGCTTCGCCCTCATTGAGTTCGGTTATATCGCGTTTACAAGAGAACTTGTCAAAAGTCTGGGATAAAAACTATCTTATGTTTTTTCTCAAGGTCAACTCTATGTCTGTACCAAATTTCATTAAAATCAGTTCAGTGGTTTGAATATAAACTATACACAGACCATTACAACTAACATATTCTCATTAGTTTTGTTTCAATATAAAATCTTCAGTCACACACAGCTAGCAGGCCGTGCTCCTGTTATATGTATATTATAGTAACATAGTGTTGTAAGACATTAAACATCTTCCCGTTAATTTTCATCAGTTACAATTCTCGTCTGCTACATCTTGGACTCACGCCAACACTTTTATAACGAAACTCAACTCTTAAACGTGAAGTGCTCTTTTCAGGATAAAAAAAAACATTTTAAGATTTTGTAATTTGTCAAGTTAATATTTAAATAATACAATATCTTATAAGCAGCGATATATATATATATATATATATTTTTCACCTCACGTTCCTCGTTCATAGCCTCTTTCAATATTTATCTTGCACTTAGTTAGAAAAGCTTCATTCTTATATTTTTACTATACCTCGATACCAGTGGAATATTATTTGGAAAGCAGGAATGTAACTAACATTACTCAGAAATTTATATTACATTTATTTAGACATAACATAAATGTAGACATGAATGATGTTTAAAGTAAGTAACATGAGATAATGAATAATTATAAAAATCTAAGAAAACATTACATATACACACACAGGTTAATAATTATTATTAAATAAATAAGTCGGCGATAAATAAAGAAATGTTTTTAGTTCCTTCCCGTTAGTTAGAGTTTAAAGATATTAAAAAATTATCGCATGCGTAAATTTCAATTGAAGATTCGTTGACTCGAAAAATTTCCAATTTACGTTTGCTTCTCAGTACGTTTTAAAATTGAATTCCATATGATGACCTCTTACACTGCACTTTTAATGAAAATGTAATTTTGTTAATATATTAACCTCTAACCTTAAATATTTAATGTCAGAATTTGTATTTAACATATTGCTATAAATATTTTAGTAATTCTGTTTTTAGGTGGTGTAGAGCCTAGCTATGGTCAGTTACCTACTACAGCTCGAACATGGGCTGGCTTCGTTCGTGAAGTAGTCTTTTATAGCTGTGTTTCGTCCCATGAGTGAGAGAGTTGTTTGGCCTTCTATTCCCCCTCCCTCTGCCATCATCAAGGTCGGCATCCATTATGTACCAGATGTCTATGGACGATGGTAGCTACCTTCCATCAGTCCGTCTGTTCATTCGACGTCTTTGAAATATAAAAAAATAAAATTTAATAACTTAAAATTAATGATTTAAAGCATTAAAATGTTCGGACTAAGTATTTTATGTAGGACTCCCGCGACGTAAATTTTATTAAGAAGTTACAAAAAATTTTGTAGAAGTTTTAATATAAAAACTATTTATTAATTATCCATTTAAGTGCATTAAAATAATAGGATTCTCTTTAAAGAGGTCTTTTACTTTTAATTTATTTTCAATGTTTTAGTATAACGCTGCATATGGACGCGTATCTCAGTCTAGTCGTTCTACTAAACACATTCCTCTACACGTTAATTTAAAACAGTCTATTTTTAAAAAGTGCTCTTTTGTGTAAAATAAAGTGAAATTTGGAAGGAGTGGTGACTAAAAAAAAAAAATTATTCATGTAATACAACTTAATAAAACAATAAATAAAAATAGAAATGTTTAAGAGCAAAATAAAAAGATGTGTATAGTTTCAAGTCTACCTACGGAATCAGTATTAACAGATCGAGGAGTATATAAGACGATCGATACATCGTCCAGCATCATTGAACACACAACAACATATCTAGTAACAGCTGCACTAACAATAACTAATCATATATTAAAAGAACGTACAAGTTCACGAAGTTAAGGATTCATATTACGAAATGAAGGTGTGTGGTTTAATAAATTAAATTAAAATATTATTAATTATTTTATTTGTAATATATTTCATTTATTCATTCATTCTAATGTCATATTGTTTTCAGTGTTTCATAGTGTGTTCGTTACTTGTGGCGTCATGTTTGGCAGAGCCACCAGTTAATAAAAGGTAACAAAACATTGAGCTAATAATAAGAATAATAATAAAGGAATTCAAATTGTACTTCTATATGAATATTTCTCTTCCTCACTACCTTCACTAATGAAAGTACATATAATCTCCAGGTATCTTCCTCCACAAGCGAGGAACACGTCTCCCTCTCAGAGTTATGGTGTTCCCGGATTCAGTCAGAGACAGACTGAGGCTGTCTTCAGGTAAATAAACTAATCAAAATTGATTACATCGATTTTCTTTATAACTAACTCTGCAATATTAACGTAATGCTTTCAAATATAATTAAATAATTATGTATTATATAAAAAGTATTGTTTAAAATTCGATATAATATTACAGAGGACGTCCTTCATCTGCCTACGGACCATCTGCAAGTATCCGGAAACCAAACTCTCAATACGGACTACCCAAAACTCCTTCCTCTCAGTATGGAGTACCGAACAACCAATATCAAGGACAAAAGCAAGCACCCACCGGCCAATACTTACCACCTACCAACCAGTTTCAAGCTTCTGGGAATCAACATCCAGCTCCGAGCCAATACCAAGCACCTTCCCCTCAATACGGTGCACCAGATCAGGCTGGATCCAATGGTCCTTCTCAAGAGTATAGAGCCCCTGGATTTGAACGAAGTATGTTGTATTTATAATAATATTTATTGAACAAAAATTAAAAATCCAGTACTCATGCAAATAAAACTTTTATTTTCGGATTTACTACGCGTTTTTTACCATGATCACGGTTGCTGTAAAGTAAACGAAACGTCGGGAGTATGTAGCTGACAGTAAAAAATAAAAAGAATGCGTAGTAATACTCGCGAAAATCTTAGATCCCAGTACTTATATCTTTTTCACGGTTTGAACGCATGCCTGTGTTCCCTACTACATTTCAATTCTAATATTATTCAATTATTTCAAGGTGGTAGTTACAACAAATATGACAACCAACAAAGCAAACAGTACCTCCCTCCCAGTGCTCGAGGATATGATGATGGAAGCAATGGAGTGAGTTTAATATTAGAGAATTAGGGATGGATTCAATCAAGACTTGGAATACTAGAATACTCATTATAACTGCTAAAGTTCATAAATGTCCCATACTAGTGTTTTGTATGGCCACATATCTTTTTAGCTCTTAGTATCATAATTACTCTTCTTTCAAGTATTATTTTTAAGTCCTTTTAATAACAATCTTTACTAACAGGAGCCTGCGAACTACGACTTCAAATACATGGTCCAGGACGCTCCCTCCGGCAACGACTTCGGTCACCGAGAGTCACGACGAGGGGACCGCGCTAAGGGAGTCTACTACGTCGTCTTACCTGATGGAAGGAAACAGGTGATATATAGAGGGTGGGTTGTTGTTATAAACACAATAGAGACCATGAGGATGTCTTATGAAATGAATTATTTGTCACCAGACCGTTGAATATGAAGCCGACCAGGACGGTTTCAAGCCCAGAATCTCATACGAGGACGTCGGCGCCGGATCAGGCTACGACAGTAACAGACAAGCGGATTACAACAACGATTAAAACAACGGACCTTATAAAAAGACTTAATATAAATAAGGCTTGTTTAAGATGATTGTTTATCTTTATTTGATAGAGAGAAGGATCTTCTTCCCTTCCTCTGTAAATAGTCCTTATTCTAAATGACGACAAGCAATGTTAATGGATACTGAGTGTGTATATTTAACTTTAATTCTATCTGTGCCTTACTTTTAAGGATTTGGTGGAGTCCAGTTATACCAAAATACTTCTTTGTTACTGTCTTTATTATTGTTAAAGATTGCGTAATGTTTTTTGTAAATAAAGTTACTACAAGGAAATCAATTTTTTTTTCTGATATATATGAAATATACATATATGGTTTAAAAGGTAGACCAGCCCTATAACTCATCAAGTTTACTTATGTGGGGCTGTATTTAAATGTTACAATGAAAACTCTTATAACCGCATGAAGAACTCTTAGAAAACTTTTAGGAGTCCCAGTTATATATCAAAATATTTCTATGTTACAGTCTTTATTTTTTTTAAGATTGCATAATGTATTTTCGTAAATAAATTAGTATGAAAAATTCTAACTTTTTTCGTTATAACAATTAAGAGTATAATGTAATAAATAACTTTTTGCAATAATAAATAAGCTCGCTAACAGTTCATGTAATTTATCGATTATATAACATCCTACTAATATTATAATTGCGAAAGTTTGTGTGTGGTTATGTTTGTTACTTCTTCAAACGGCTGAACCGATTTTGATACAGTTTTGTATACGGGAAGCTGACGTCCAGGAATAACATATAGGCTACTTTACATCCCGGAAATCCGCGGGTAACACCGCGGAGAGTAGCTAGTATTATATAATAATAATTTAAAAGCTAGTGATGTCGTTTACCTAACCAAATTGTCAAAAATATGTACATCTTTTGATTGAAGTGACATTTTTTTTTTTTTATTATATTAACATCAAAAGTAAATAAAAGTTAGCTCTTCGTGTTTTTAAGCCATTTAAGGAAATCAAAACGTTGTATGTTCATTAAATCCTGTTTTGTCTAGAAAAAAATATTTTTAGTTTATCTCAGTGTGAATATCTCAAAATCTATTCACAAATTCTTTTTTAATTACAAATTTTTCGTTAAGTACATTTTAGAATCTCCTAGTTTTTTATTTGTTGCAGTAGTAGTATATTTTCAATACTATTTTTTTTAAATCATTGCCTTTTTTGTTTGTCCAAACATTGCTTTTAAAGATTATATAAAGTGCAGTGATTTAATGTCCTGTTTTTGTCTGAGTCCCTTCTGAGTGGTTGTATACTACATATATTTCATTTTCATTGGTTCAAAGGGAATCAATGAAACGATGTCTCAGGTCTCGGTGTCTTGTCGGTGTAAGAATCCTACAAGCATTCTCCTGTATAAGTTTGTTATACCGAAATACAATCGGTTTCTGGTAGAGAAATCAAATAAAAACAAAGCTCGTGTCCCTTTTCTCCATTTTATAATTTCAAGTTTATGACCAATATCACAACGGAGTATCAGAAATATAAAAGAAAAAGGTTTCTTTATAAACTTATGACTAGATGTAATGAAATGAAAAAGATGAACCCCCACTAAGGAACTTTATTATACGGTACTTCTTTATTAGATTAAAATTAATATTTAATAATAAATCTATTTTTCCGTACTTGTAATATTTATATTTAAAAAAGTCATAACAATCTAGATCTTAATAAAAATATGTACATATCATTGTTTCATTTTGTATATTACTTAAACATAATATGTACTATTTTCGAGTGTATTCATTTATATGAAACTAAGGTTTTCGGATACTGCAACGTACTTTTTTTTATTATTTTTCAACTAAACAATTCTGACGTTTCAGCCCCTTACCAGTCCAGTCATTTTCTGTATTGAAAAGAGGATGTTTTTTGAATTTCATTAGAGAAGGCTGGAATTTATTTAACACCTGGGACCCCTTAATTAAAAAATATATAAAATATTATGTCCGTAATCATACCAGAATACCTTAGGAGACATAGTGACAAATAAAAAGACTAACTGACAGACACTTTTATCTCGTGTGCCCGTGATCACGGTTAATGCAAAGGATCCGTAGCTTGGGTATTATGTAGTAATAAAATAAAGAGGAACTCACAGTATCCAAATACCCTATTTTCATTTGTACTTAGTAATGCCTATAGAATGACATTTAAAATGTGGAAATATCAAAATTGTAGTGGAAACATAAGTTTTTATGTATTTTAAAATAAAAAATGTACTTAGTATTATAGAAAAACGATTTTTTTTAAGATTATAACAATCAAGCAATAAATTATCTCAAAAGTAAAAGATAACATATAAAAGTAGAAAGTTAAAAATCAAAGTAGATTACAAAAAATATTATAATGTTTGGTATGTCTTTTGTACATAATAAAAATAAAAACTAATTATTATCTTACCGAGTTATTATAATAATATTAATAATTATTATGAGAGGGTTAAATATACAGATAATACTAACGTTATAGGTAGCTCAGGAACACTAACACATCTCCCCGCTATAAACAACTTGAACTGAATACATACCGAGTATAAACATATCTTCATTGATACTAAAACAATAGTTTGTGCCAATTATATAATATTATATATAAGGAAAGACATGTGTATTAACAATCACAGTAGAACATTATATTCACCTACAGAATAACATATATTGATGTTGTATTATATTATTGTATATATAATTCTTTTCATATATAATATAAAACATATGCGTATAATGTTTTATTTCCATACTATATGTACATATATTGTTAATGTCTATTGGTTACAGTAGCAGTACATGTTGAGGTGAGGGTGGGTGGCGCTTATACAGCTCGGCTCGTTGTTGTAACTGTAATATGTATAATATATTATTAGTATATTATCTTGTATTATATAAACAGGGTGACTGGTGAATTACTATCGATATTTGAGGACGTGATATTTGACGATCATATATGACAAAATAAAAATTAATATAACATAAATATTAATAAACTTCTAAGTAAAGTTAACCAAAAGTTATGTAATTAATTACGCATCGCATGAACACCCTACAGATTAGGTATACACACACACACACTCGCGTGCGGCGGCGTGTTGTTGTATCAGCACGCCGCCGCACGCGTCCACACTTGGTACAGTTGGAACGTGTACACACTTTATTTATTTATACGGAAATTTGGTCAAAATTTAAATACCTATTTTTTTACATAATTCGAATGAGAATGTACCGAATGTACCGAGTATGCTCCTTAAATATTGATAGTAATTCACCAGTCACCCTGTATATATCGGCGCTATCAGCTTTAATGACGGATGCGTTGTGAAAATAATTTGAGGCTGTCATCAATTCTTATTAAAACTCATTAGTATTTATGATTATTGTAAAAAGTAAAACGAAATCAACGATTGTTTAAAAGGAGAATAGAACTATGTTTGAATCTTGTTAAAAATATGACGTCTGGACGCACGACGGCAGAATTCAGAGTTCAGTGAGTGCGTATCATTGAAGTATGTGATTAAGAAGAACCTTCGAGAAACAATGGAGCATTAAGAACAATTGAAGTATCATTTTAAAATATTATGGAACCAGTGGCGGGGCAAGACCTAAATTTGACGTGGGCAAGACAGATTTCGCCAGGCCCTATTCTATGGCAACTTGAAGCTCTTACTACCTGCTAGTTTTAAAAACTTAAACATAGATACGTTTTTTACCCTTCAAGCTTTGGTTTCCTTCAAAAGATATTGTAAAGCGTATTTTGTATACAAGTAATTACTGCGTTACATACTTATAACCAATTAAATATTTCTTACTTAATGAAAAATAGACGAGTACAGGTACCGGTGTAATTACAAATCACAAAGAAAACAAAAACAATCAAAAAAACGTCACTGTTTTCGAGGGCAATCAATATACTTAAACACTATCTATTTATTCGCTAAATATTAAAACATTAAACACACTATTCTTATTAAAATAGGTTTAGGTAATTAATTCTGATTTCCAAAGAGGGTTGACGTCAGGCAGGCGACCAGTCGTAAAAACAAATAGCCAAAACTAATAACAACATGTAAGGCAGACCCTGGCTATAGCTGGGAAATTGCCAGGAAGCAGAAGAAGAACAAAATTTTTTTTATTCTCGCTTTAAAATTTTTTGAGGCGCGAGGCCCTTTGTGCCGCGAGGCCGTAGGCGGTTGCCCACGTCGCCCACGCCTTACGCCGCCACTGTATGGAACGCTCTAGAAGAAGTGACATGAGTAACGTCAGCGAGGCTGGCGTCTCTCTAAAAACTCTCTCTAAAATCTCTTTAAAAACAACGAATTTGTAATAAATCCGATATATACATTTTAAAAATAACTGTGTTCGTTACATATAATGTATTGCTCCCAGTATAGACTAATAGATTTGAATAATTCTGTTACTTACGCGTTAGTCCTTGATATGTCTCTTGAATTTATCTCAAATCTGGTTTCGTTGATAACATAAGTCACTAATGCTTCGTATTTACCGACACCAGGTTCTTCTGCGATCTGAAATTATAAACATAGAACTTTCAGCCTTTCAGTCATTTAGACTTCAACCACTAATGACTATCACTAGTTATCACTTAAATCATCTAATAAACTGTATATGAATATATGGACAGTAGATTCAATTAAACTTTATTGAAACTATTTTTACGTTTTTTCATTTATGTCGATGATTGAGATAATTGATAACAGTATAGTCTTCTTCACAATGAGCAGTACATTCGCAACAAATAAAACTAAGAACCTTAATAAGTTTCTAAAATTATATCCAGATTTTTTTTAAACGGCACTTGGAATCAACCATCACTAAACTACACCTAAGGTATAAATGATCGAAATTTTATTTAAGTTTTAATTAAGAAAAGATAAATAATAAGCTTCTTTAATTGATGCCATAAATTTTTATTACTGTAATGCTTTTTTCTTAATTATTACAAGTGATCACAAAAACATTAAAATTTTTGACATTTTCTTTTTCTTACATAATATTAACTTAAAAAAA